AATTGTAAACAAACTACTAAATTATTCTAAGTCCAAGTAATGTCCAAAATTTTACTAAGTTTAAATATTCAAAGAAATAAAGTTCAAATTTGCACCACTTTATTGTGAACACTTCACTTAATTTAATATTTTCAAAGTTAATTTTTGCATGTAAATAAGGTTCAAATCACTCACAATTTATCCTGGTATCACCTCAATGGACTGTAGTTGATGACGTACAAAGCGCGTTGCGCTCCACACTCCCCTCTTCTCCGCTCGTAGTTGTACGGCTTTGCTTCCTGACAGGCATCGTCACTCCCGGCACCGTCTGCAGTAGATAGTTGCATCCTTGCAACCTCCGCTGCTGAACTTGGCTAGTTTGCGCAAGCGATCCATTTGCCCAGCCAAAACCTCTTCAAAAAACTGAACAACTTGCCAAAACCAACCGACCGATCCACAGTCGGCTCGAAGTACCATATATAATAACTATGTATAACCCAATACATAGGTATGACGAGGTAGTTTGAGGTAGGTATGTAACTAAAATAATTAAACACCGATTCTCTATACTTACCACATGAAACACAGCAGCATTAAGCTGCTATTTTATGCTGGTATACTGTAAGAGCGTGGTGTTACCCCTGTCGAGCCGACTGATTCCTGCTACAACCATAATTATACCTGCAGTGTACCACGTCAAAGCATGTCTTCTCCATCGGTTGCCATAAGATATGTAATAATACTAAAGCCGGCTATACATGTTGGCTTAGCGAAGGCGACTACCAACGTATAGACAGCCCATTTGTTTAGTCTTGTCATTTTTTGTCGACGCTCGCCTAGCTGGCCGAGTGCAGTGAGTTTGGCGTGCCCTGTCACCAGTCGGGATCGCTCGCTACGACTCATCTCACTTCGGAACAGTGTCGGTTTTCTGCTCAAATCAAAGCCGTTCGCCTGTACTCGGTAAGTCGCGTCCACATGTTTGTCGGCCATATCAGTTATAGATTGGCGTCCGGCCCGGTGAGATGTTCTGTTTTAATTAAGTTGCAACTTTAAAACAATTTCGACAATGTCACTGTCTCTTGTTTTCTACAATTTTACTGTGGAGTACACTGATATGATAATTATATACACTCATTAAATAAACAGCAGAAGCTGCAATGACTTCTACGTTGTCCATATCGTTCCAATTCTCAATGAAAACTAATTACAGCCGACTTGAGAATAGCTTCAAAACATTCGTGAACATATTATATATATATAACATATATGAACAAAAGTCCGGCAACGCATCTGCAATTCCGGTGGTGTTGCGGTTGTTCATGGGCGGCGGTAGTCACTTACCATCAGGTGAGCCGCATGCACGTTTGCCCCCTCTCCTATAAAAAAAATAAACATTGTCAGTTGCCATTTGTCTCTTTCGAACTTGACCAACCTGTAGTCTGTAGCACTCGCCTTGTATCAATTTGCTTACACTCGCTTTGGCTAAGGCTTGGCCAATATGTGTTGCCAAGGTAACATAATCTTATATATATAAACTCTATACACGAGTAAAATGTTAGGAGACCAATTATAACTACGAAAATTAGAGGAATTTATTTATTAACTTTCAAAGTGATATGTTCTATCAAGATATTTTCATTTTGAATATACCTTATTGAAGAAAAATTTCATGTAATTTTTTTCTTTTTATTAAATCTGATGTACAAACTCTTGTGTGTGTAATAAAATGTTATTTATTGCCTTGTTCTTGATGTTGCTAGTAATGAAACTTTATAGTACTTGTGAGAATGTTTATTTTAACCATTTGATTTAATTATATGTCGTGAACTTTCTTAGTATTAAAGTCTGAGTATAGTAAACAATGTTTTTGAATAATGTTATGTAATCCGTACACCTGATATTAACATAAATCTCTCCTATAGGTAAGTACGATGCTAGGTGGTTTGAACAATGCTATGTAATCCTTACATCTGGTATGAACACGAATCTCCTCTATTTTGGATGCAAGGGTTTTCTACAGGATGCATTTCGGAGGAATAGCATAATTTAATTCCTCCTTCTCTCTTCCACCATGGGACAACCAGACGTTCGGCCAGTCTCCATTCGTTGTTTTGTACGCGGTAGAGCCATGCTGCTGCTATATTATTGGTATAGTTGTAGCACAAATGGGTCGGCTCGACCGGGGAAGGACCACGCTCTCACAGAATACCAGCGTAAAATAGCAGCGTAATGCTGCTGTGTTTCGTACGGTGAGTGTAGAGAACCGGAGACCGATTTTACTGAAAACAAGGCATTCCATCTTAATCCTCACGGGTGACGATGCATCTGCATTTTGATACGTAATTGAGGATAGATGTAGGTGTCTATGGGCTACAGCAACCACTTACCATCAGGTGGACTGTGTGCTCGTTTGTCACCCTTATCCTATAAAAAAGACTTATCACTCATTCGAACCAAACGGTTTGCTACGTCGTTCATCATGCGTACAGCAAAGGGTGGAATTAGTTGCCAGCATCTGTGTTTCCATCCGATTACAGTGTGGGCGTCTTCAAGGCAAGAGTGAATAGGCTTTTGTTATGCCAGTGCGCTTCACCATCTAAGGCTACATCACCACTTACCATCAGGTGGGATCGTAGATAAGCGCTGGCTTAGTGAAATATAAAAAAAGGAAATACTTTTCTCCCTAGGAGTTCGTATAGGTAATTACCAACCTCTTACCTATTTCTGCCACCAAATAGTATAGGTCGCACTTCTGTGTTCCTGCATTAATTATTTATTTAAAATTATCTACATTTAGCTCTTAGCATCAACTGGACTGTAAAATTGTATTATCATACCATTTTAATATTTAAGCTAACAGATAGTGACATTGTGTGTCCCCGCACACTGTAACTTTTGAATTGCGGGTTACTTTGAAATATTTATACGTGGTAGAATCATGTTGTAACTATATTAGTAGTATAGTTGCTGGACGGGGCTATAAAAGTGGTGCAGACCGCCGCACGCGCGTATCCGCGAGTGGCGGCGGCGTCGGACACATCTCCGGAACAGCAAGAAGAAGCGAAGCTGCGGCGTTGAAGAAACGGCTCGAAAATGGTCGACGGATGCATGATGATATTTGCGGCTGCTTCTTGTTTCTATATTAGAACGTCAAATTATCTCGCATCGATATGCAGCCCGCAGTATCTCAGTAGTCGGGGGTGATTAGGAAATAAATGTTTTCTTCAGACCTTCGCCTTCTGCGTTGTGGTAGCAGCAGGGTATACATTTTTTATTGCCGTTTAGGGTTGATTAGCCTGGCTGCTACATCACTCTCCCCCTAAAGAAAGCGTACCGGATGCTTTGCGACTCGCCCATGTCTCGTAGTTTTTAAAATAGGTTTCATCTGGGTTGATGTAGATGATGGGTTTTCAAGCTTCCTCGTTGGTGGTTGAGATGATGATGATGATGATGAATCCTCTGAAGTATCCTCGTTAATAATATAGGCAGGTAGTTGTAGATTTCCTTCCGGGTATTTGTTATTTAAAAGTCATGCTATTTCGCTCTAATACTTTATACGGTCCATCGTAGGTATATTGAAATTGTTTCTTTACTGCGTCGTTTCTTACAAAAACTTTCTTGCATGCTTTCAAGTCTTGATGAATGAATATCGATATATTATTTCCGTGTGATGATGTGCGTTTCGACGACAAGACTTTGTTGATTGATTCTCGAAGTTGAGTTACAAAATCGTAATTCATTTCTTGATTATTTGACGATGTTGAAGTGAAGAGGTCACACGGTAGTCTTATGCTGCAGCCGTAGATTAGCTGAGCGGCGCTAAGACTAGTGTCTGCACGCAGTGTTGCTCGTAGTCCAAGTAGCACTGTAGGTAGCTCGTCAATCCACTTTGTATGTTGAGATAAACGAGTTTTGAGTGCGGTCTTCAATGTACGATGCCATCGTTCGACTATTCCGTTTGATTGAGGATGGTATGCCGTTGTACGTGTCTTCTGTATTCCCATAGTTTGAAGAAGTTTGAGGAATAGGTTGCTTTCGAAGTTGCTTCCTTGATCCGTTGTGATGGTTTTAGGTGATCCGAAACGAGTAATCCAATTTTCATAAATTATCCTCGCGACGGATTCAGCTGAAGTATCATCGGTAGCTATTGCTTCTGGCCATCCTGTTGTTCTGTCTATCATTGTTACGAGGTAACGATGTCCTTGTGGTGAAGTAGGTAATGGTCCAACGATGTCAACGTGCAGGTATTCGAATCTCTCCGTAGGTGGAAATGAATCTAGGCTGCTTGATGTATGCCTTTGTACTTTGCATTTTTGTCATTGAATGCATTGCTTCGCCCAGTTGCCAACATCTACTTGTATTGAAGGCCAAAAGAATTTTTCAGTCTGAGTTTTCTTGTTGCTCTAACACCTGGATGACTGATGTTGTGCAGTGCATTGAAGACTTCGCGACGACATTCTTCTGGTAGGTATGGTCGCATGGTTGACGTTGAGGCTTCACAGTACAAAGGTAGATGCATCATTAGCATTGTAACTTGCTTGATGGACAAGTTACTTTGTTTCGATAGATTTTTGATGTTGTCGCTATCTCTGTCCTATGCTTCGGCGATCTTGTGATAGTCGATTGCTGTAGGGCACGTTGCACTATCGATTGGTATGCGACTGAGTGCGTCGGCGACTATGTTGTCCTTCCCACTGATGTGACGTATGTCGGTCGTGAAATCACTTATGAAAATGAGTTGTCTTGCTTGTCGTGGTGTTTCTTCTGAAGTACATATTATGTTAATAGCTTGTGGTCGATAAAAACGATCAGGTTTCGATCCTCGAACGTTTTCTGAAGTCCTAGACAGCCATGTAGATAGCGAGTAACTCTCCATCGAATGTGCTGTAGTTACGTTGAGTATCGGAGAACTTCTTCGAAAAATAGCCAAGTGGTTGCCATTTCCCATTTATGTATTGTTGGAGTACAGCTCCTGCTGAGAGATCGGACGCGTGGCTGAAGATAGCAAGGGTTGCTTCGTGTCATGGGTGAGCGAGCAAAACTGCATTTTGGATCGCAAATTTACTAGCTTCAAATGCCTTCGTGGCTTCATCTTTCCATGCGATTGACGTTTTATCTTTTTTCTTCATGTTGAGAAGGTAGGTGTGAAGTGGTGCTTGGATTTCAGCGGCTTTAGGTATGTGTTCTCTGTAAAAAAGAATCATCCCAAGAAAACGCCTTAGTTCTTCGATTGTTTTAGGTTTCGCATAATCGATGATTGCTCTTGCTTTTTCATTAGGCGGTTTGATTCCTTCCTTGCTGACGGTGAAACTGCATGCATTATGAAGGGTATGCATTTCGAAGGGTTGATTGTGGTTAAATTGTCTTCTAATCGCTGTAGCACGGTGCGTAGATGGGTTTCGTGCGTTTCTTTATCAGGGCTTGCAACAAGGAGATCATCAATGAATGCAAAAACGAAATCCAGTCCATGAAGTAAGTAAGTGGAAGAGCCATGCTGCAGTTATATTATGGTAATAGTACCGAATAGAGTACTGGAGACTCTTTTTCCTGGATACGAGGCATTCCTTCTTAGTCCTCAGCGGTGACAACGCATCTGCTTTTTGATACTAAATAGAGGGTAAATGTAGATGTCTATGGGCCACAATATCCTCTTACCATTAGGTGGACTGTGTGGTCGTTAGTCACGCTTATCGTATAAAAAGTGGACTTCTGGTAGATTGTAATGATTACTCTTGTTCTATTTTATTGTTTCTATGGAAATAAGAAGAGTCAAATTTTTTGAGCTGGTTTATTTAAGATAAAAACAAAAGCTAACTTTTTTATTCCGCTCTAGCAGTGTGCCTTTCAACCACATGAGTATAGAAAACGTACAGAGATAAAGCTTCCAAGGAGCCGTAAAAATTTTTACCCATTTTGAGAGGGTTGGCACAAGACAATAAAATTAAATAAAAATAACGTTTATCCGCTTTTATTACATAGTTTAGATAGAATAATTTTTTATAAACTACTTATTCTAAATATATTTCTTTATAATTTTTGTTCTTCAACAATTTGTTGTACCTTTTAATTAAATGGTAAATTATGAATCTAACGTAATTTTTTTTCAAAACCTTTTGAAAAGCACTCGCATGGCATAATAAATTTAGTTTGGAAAAACCAAAAGTGCACACCTCATGAGCGTTTCATTTAATTTTGATAACAAAAAAATTAAAAAAGAGACGATAACTTTTACAAGAAAAAAAAACAGGGAATCTGATCGACTTTCATTGATACCTTTTAAACGGTGGTTGATTTCAATAACAAAAATCAATAGGGATCCTCCTTAGAATATATGGAATCTTATTTAATACTTTATATCTCAATCTATTGCTACATTTCTATTAAGCGAGAAGATTCACCGACGCGACCAACGGATGGCAGTTCATATATTTTTTCAATTCAATTTTTTGTTATGTAAATAATTGTGTATGAAAATAAAATAATCTTATAATTCAATATCTGTAGTTATTGTAACGTTAACAATAATATGGATGTGATGTCTGACTAAAAGTATAAGAACGATTTTGTTTAGGACAATTAACATTTAAAATTTGCATTCAACACTCATGTCCTCCCGCTGACTTTGTAAAGGTCACCCCACTCTCGTGTGGGTCGCTCGGTAGAGGGCGCGAGCGCAGGACGCGAGTGCGAAGTCAGTAGCTTGACAGCAGCGGCTCTGTCGATTAGCGTATTTTGTTGTGACCGCTGCATCGCGCGGCCAGGTTTTTGGTTTTGGTCTAGAATTTGAGTATTTGTGCTCGTTTAATTTACTATTGAATTTGGGTTTCGTGTAGACCACCTCGAATGAGTTTGTCTAAGTTGTACGTTTCGTGACAAGAGGCTTGTATTGAGTTTGACTGATTAAAGTAATTTCGTTTGCAACTAATTACGTCAATTTGTATAGTGATTGCATGATGAAGTGCATTTTGCAATACTTAACTTGTTAGTGTGACGTGGAACCTTGCGCGCACGCCGAGTGGACAGACGGTCTGGAATTTGATGCTCGCATTCCATTTCGAGGGCGTGGTCCGGTTAATTGTTTTTGGAAGTTAATGTTGAATTGTACCGTCGCGTTAAGTGCCTTTTGTGTGTTGACTATGTATTTAGTTTGCGTGTCAGCTAGGCTGATTTTGAGTTCTTATTGCGGGCGTGGTATTTAATATCGTACATACATACATAAACACTCACGCCTGTCACCCAGAGGGGTAGGCAGAGATTATGGACTTCCATTTGGCACGGTAATAAATAATAATAATTAATATCGTACGAAAGAATTTAGTTTGTTGTTTGGAACGCTGAACATTGTGACTCGAGAAGAGATCGCGTTCGTTCCCTGTTTGTAATTTGGTGCTAAATGAACCCGGTACATTGAGTATTGAACTTGGAACGACTGTTCGTTACTTGTATCGGGTGTCACGTGTTTGATTTCGATGAACGTTGAATTGGTTAACTTTGAAGTTAATTAAATGTACAATAAAGTTGATAGATTGAAATAGTGTACAATAAAGTGGATAAACTGAAATAGTGAAATGGTCAATTAGTGACGTTAGTGAAAGTTGTCAATCATATAATATATATATATATATATATATATATATATATATATATATATTGTGTAGAATAATAAGTCTCCATAGGCCGTTGGGCCCCGTCCCCTGTTGCCCTGTATGGTCGACCTTTATTGGGGCAGCTAGGGGCGTGTACAGATTTAATGTAGCGAAATTGAGGCGGTCACATATCAACACAAACTTGCACACGTTTTAATATTTCATAACTCAACGATTCTTTTGAGGTCAAAATATTCGCAAAATTTTTGCTCAATCAATTCATAATTAAAACTATCATTTCAGGTACTTTCTCACATTGGCTCGAACTCAAACAAGTACCATCATTTGTCAACAAATTGAGTGTTGGGAAAGCATTTCCAAATAAATATTTTACAGGTATTTTTTTAGAAAACTGAATACAGGATTTTTCGAAGTAATCCTTTCGGAGTCTATATTGTTTCCCTTTTTATAATAATAAAGTTTTAAAAGGAAATCTTCTTGTTCGACAGCTGTAACTAATCTCGTCGTCTTAAATAAAAAAAATATGAACTTATGTAAGTTTATTTATTTTCTATAGAATCGGGTGTTAAACCTTAAAAGGGTTGTAAAGCTTTTCATAAGTCCACTGCTGAACATAGGCCTCCCCCAAGGAAAGCCATAAAGCACGATCCTGAGCCACCTGCACCCATCGAGTTCCTGCATGTCTTACCAAGTCGTCACTCCATCTCGTGGGGGGTTGCCCTACACTTCACCTACCGGTACGAGGCTGTCACTCAAGAACCTTCCTCCCCCATCGGTTGTCGGTTCTTCGAGCTATATGGCCGGCCCACTGCCACTTCATCTTACTAATCCGTTGGGCTATGTCGGTTACTATGGTTCTACTGCGGATATCCTCATTCCTAAGTTTATCACGCAGAGAAACTCCGAGCATAGTCCTCTCCATAGCTCGCTGAGCGACCTTGAGCTTCCTCATACGGCCAGCAGTGGAGGACAACGGTTCAGATCCGTAAGTCATCACTGGCAACACGCACTGATTGTACAATTTCGTTTTAAGGTTCTGAGGTATGTCTGACGAGAAAATGTGTCGTAGCTTCCCGAACGCTGCCCAGCTGAGTTGAATCCGTCGATTGACCTCTCGGCCGAAGTTGGACTTACCTAGTCGGACTATTTGTTCCAGGTAAACATACTCGTCAACAACTTCGAGCTTAGTGCTCCCAACAACTATCGGCATTTTTTATAGGATAAGAGTGACAAACGAGCACACAGTCCACCTGATGGTAAGTGGTTGCTGCGGCCTATAGACATCTACATCTCTCCTCAGGTAAAATCTGCAGGTGCCCTACATGTTTTACATCCAAAAATGTATCATGTGACGTGCTTGGCTCATGGTATATATATATTAGCTGAATGCATAAGGTCTTAGTTTAAAAAGATTGACAGTTTAGTATCAAACGTAAAGAAAAATTTTTTGAAAGCACCAAGCAGGATCTCAAAATGTATAGAGATGTATCCCGACATTTCTTTACCACCAGAGCCAGTGCTGACCCGCTAAGAAACTTGGCTAGCAGCAGTTGAATACTATGCCCAGTATTACACTGAAATCAAAAGTATTATTTTTGAGTTGGAAAACGAAGCTGCTACTATATCAATCTCAAAAGGACTTCTCCAAGATGACACTCTACGTAAGGATTTGCTTTACATAAAAATCAATTATTGCTTTTTATCACATCAGATAAAGGCTCTCGAAAATTCTTTCAGTTCTCTAAATGATAATTTGGAGATTATCGAAAATATCGAAAAAAGTTTTAGAATCAAAAGGTCCCGTTGCTGACGTAGCAAGGCAAAAATTAAGCTACGTACCAGAAAAAAAAACAAACGATTTCATACCCTAAAGAAAATAACAGCATGCTGTGTGGAACATTAGAAAGCACCATAGATGTGCCCCACTCACAGAATTATGCAAATTTAAATATGCTCCAATCACATCCTGTGATGTCGAAAGATCATTCAGCCAGTACAAAGCATTATTTCATCCAAACTAATTCAAATAATAATGAAACAGAACCTAAGTAAAATTGTATTTTTTGGTTTTTCTTTATAAAGAATCGTTTTAATGTATAATGTCGTTACCTTTTATTGCACATATTTTCCCCATATTTTAGAATTTTCAGTCCATGTTATATGTACATATTTTGATATTTTCTATACATATTAATCCGAGCCTTACTTATTACTCTTTACATAACCTTGAGTTTAAGCACTGGCCGAGCCGGTATAAAGCAGTTTCTCTATGTACCTGACGAGCCGCCAATGCTCACACACGCACGCGCCTCATGTTTGTAGTAGTTTAACCACTCAAGACTTTGACAGTTCATGAAAACCAATTAGTCAGACCTATGGTCAAGCCAAAGATAATATCTATTTTTATAAAGTGAGCGCTAGGGTAAGGAAGATTGCAATACGTTGTCGATAAATAAAATGTTTTGAGAAATTACCAATTCAACACTTAAAATATCGAATTTTTTGTATGAAAGTCAAGTGAGCGCTAGTCACGACGATTGCAAGACGTCGATAAGTGAAATGTTTTCAGAAATTTTCAATCACCGTTTCATTACACGGTTCTCAAAACATTGCAGTGTACGAATATCCATATCATGCCGTGTGTCGTAAAAGGCGACTAGACTTGGGGAAGTATTATTTTTAATAACTATGACCGACGTTATAGGTCTATAAAAACAACAGTGAAAAAT